GGACCAATAGGCAGTGCCATGATGGATGGAGAGGAGATTGAAACTGTCAACAGCTTCATCTTGCTTGGATCAACAATTAACACCCTTGGTATGAACAGCCAGGAAATAAGGAAACACACTAGGAAAATCTGTAGTTAGGGACCTTTCCAAATTACTGAAAAATAGTAATATCAGTTTGAGGACGAAGGTGTGTCTGATTCAGGCCATAGTCTTTCTGATTACTAGATTTGTATCCAAGACCTGGACAATGAATAAAGACGACAGAAAAAGAATTAACACCTTTGAACTATGGTGTTGGAGATGAGCTGTGAACATTCCATGGACAGTCAAGAGAATGAACAGATATGTTTTGGAGATGGTGGAGCCAGAGTGCTCTTTGGAGGCAAGAATAATGAGGATTCGCCTCGCATACCATGGACATGTCACTGAAAGGTGCGATTTATTAGAGAAGGACATAATGTTGGGAAGGGTGGAGGGTCAGTGAGGGAGAAGAAGACCTTCAACCAGTACTTCTGGAAAAGAGAGATTAAATGGGAGGCATAGCACTCCCTGACCTCATAACTTATTACCCAGTGACAAAAAGCAAAACAGCCTGGTACTGGTACGGTGACAGACATATATACCAATGGAACAGAATTGAGAACCCAGAAATGGACCAATCTATTTATGGCCAACTGATATTTGACAAGGAAATAAAATCTACCTAAGGGGGAGATGACAACCTCTTCAACAAATGGGCTGGCAAAACAGGACTGACTGCTACCTGAAGAAAACTGATAGAACAGCCACATCTCACATAATACACAAAAATCAATGCAAGGTGAATCAGAGATCTGGGAGTAAGGCCCAAACCCATAGAGTTCATAAGAGATACACAGGGACCATGCTTACAAGACTTAGTCCATAGTATAAAGATACTGGCAAATATAACCAGAAATGCACAATCTGGAGAAGATAAAATTAATGGCTGGCACTCTATAAATATTAAATAACTGTGCACATCAAAATCTTTCCCCAACAGGGTAAAATGGAAAACCTACTGACTGGAAAAATAAAATTGGCAATACCATCTGAGACAAAGATCTCATAAAAAAAGTTTACAGAATAACCAAATTACAAAATGGACAAAAGACATAGAAAGACTTTTCACAGAGAAAGACATTTGGATGGCCAACAGACACATGAAAAATGCTCAAAATCACTGATAACAAGAGAGATGCAAATTGACACCACACGAGATACCATCTCATATCAGCAGCAGTGGCAAAATTTAGCAAGGCAGTTAGCAATAAAAGTTGGAGAGGATGTGGAGAGGTGGGAACTCTTATACACTTTTGGTGAAATTGTAAAATGGTACAACCACTCTGAAAGGCAGTTTGGCACTTCCTCAAAAAGTCAAACATAGAAACTTCATATAATGCAGCTATTCTACTACAAGGAATATACCTCAAAGAATTTAGAACTGAGACACAAGTGGAGATTTGTACACCAGTGTACATAGGAGGGTTAGTTAACATTGCAAACATCTAGGGAAACAGCCCAGATGTCCAACCACGATTGAATAGATTGAGAAATTGTGGTACATTTGCACAACGATGCAGTACACAGGAGTAATGATTTTGAAAAATACTACATAAGTTGGGAGAGACTGGAGAGCATTATACTGAGTGAATGAACTCAATCTCATAAGGACACATATACTGCATAAGACCATTATTGTAAAAATAGAAGGATAAATAGTAAAACATACATGAGGACCCAAGGGAGAAAGGGATGGGAGCAGAGGAGTGAGAATGGATAGGGGCTAATTTACAAGGTTGCACAAGTTGGTAGGTTGAAGTAGGGGGTAAAGGAAATGGGAAAAATCTAGTGAGCACCTGAAAAGACAGAATAATGATGGGCATAGTCCAATGGTGATTAACTTTGTAAAACCGTGCATGGAAATGGTTGTATGAAACACAATGTGAATGAGGAATAATGTGAAACATAATGCATATGAGCTTTGTTAGCAAACCACTACAAAATAAAAATGAAAAAAATATTTTGCAAACTGTATAACATCTTAACATCTCACTACCAGGTTAACTTTTTCCTCCTTTGAGAAAATTGTCAAAAACATGTTATACTTCAAAGATTTAAAGGAGATTTACCACTTACATTTTTTCACTGAATTACATTCCATGAATATTTTCCATATTTTAATAAGTAAAATGGTGTTTTAATTAATTTTTGTATGAAAAATTCTGTTATATATTAATTCATTATTATAATTATGTCAAATATTTTAAACATAACTTGTGATTTTCATGTATTAGATGAGCACAAAATATATCATCCATTTTCCTTTTTATTTCATTTATTGTATTTATTCTCAGAAAGTCTGCCCTATAATGAAAATATTTCAGTACTTTCTTCTTACCACTGCATATGGTTTTTTCATTAGATACATTTGAATTATGCCCTAGTCTTTATTTTACTGTAAGTAAGTTAAATGATATTTTAAATACATTTTATGATGTAGTAGCTAATAGTCTGGTTATTCTTTCATTTATAATTACACTTTATATCTTCATAAATAAACTTTATTTCTATTTTAATTTCAAAAAATAATAGTATTTAATGAGAAATAATATTTCTATATTTAGACAGGAGGAATTAATACCTTTGTATATTGTTAAAAGGGATAATACCCTAGCACTAAGATTTTTCTTAAATCACTTAATTTCTCCTGGTATCAGCTTTAAAAAATTGATAAGAAAATGCTTTGTTGTAGTTGTTAGGAGCCTTCGAGTATGACTTATAGTGGCTCAATGAACAGCAGATCTCAACCCTGTCCTTTCCTTTGTCATCTTCATACTTCCTGACACAACAGTCACCATGTCAGTCCACCTGGTCAAGGGTCTTCCTCTCCGTTGCTGACCCTCCACCCTTCCAAACATCATTGTTCAAGGAATAGCCCCTTCTAGCAACATGCCCAAAGTATGTGAGGGGAAGCCTCGTCATTCTTGCCTCCAAAAAGCACTCTGGCTGCACTCTCTCCAGGACATATATATATTTGTTCTTTTGGCTGTCCAAGGGATGTTCAGCACTTCTCTCTCTCTCTCTTTTTCTTGAAAAAGAAAATGATTACATCTCAAAAACTCAAATTCATACTTATTGTCAATAAGTTGGAACTTACTCATAGCCACTAGTGAGTTTTGGGGGAATTGTAAATTCCACAAGAGATTTTTTATCTTTCTCCTGCATAATTATTGGTGGATTTGAACCCTCAGAGAGATGAGCACCTTTATCTTAGCAGTGCAACTCCTAAGGACTACACCATTAGAGTTATCAGTAATAATATTGATAATAAGCTAGAGTTTATTGTTGTTACATGTGGTGCTGAGTTGGAACTGACTTACCACTGACCCTCTGGTGGGTTTTCAGAGGCTGTAAATAACATAGGAGTTGATTGTTCATCTTTCTTCCATGGAGCAGTTGGTGGATTCAAACCATATGCCTTTGGATTAGCAGCACAACTTCTTAGCACAAAACCACTAGAACACCCTTGTACTCGGATTATGTTGTTGTTGTTATGTGCTGTCGAGTAAACTGTAATCCTATGACCAATTTGGGCTCTGATCCTTGCCATATTCTGAGCCAATATCACCGTCTCTGACACACTTGTCCCATTGCTACAGTCATTGTGTCAATCTACCTCATCAAGAGTCTTCCTCTTCTGTGCTAATCCTCTACTCTCCCAAGGACTGTTCTCTCCTGGCATCAGGCCCAATGTGTGTGAGATAGAACTTCAAATTTCTTCTTTTCAAAGATCATCTTGATTTCATCTTAACTCCAGAACAGACTTGTTTGTTCTCTTGGCAGTCCATGGTTTGTTCAATAGCTTTTTCCAGCACCACAACTCAAAGGCTCTGATTCTTCTTCTGCCATCCTTAGTCATTATCTAGCTCTCAAATGGATAGCAAGTAAGTGAAAAGACTATAGCCTGGGTCAGGCACACCTTAGTCTCTAGACTGACATTGTTACTCTTTAGCATTCTGGAGAGATCCTTGACAACAGATTTTTCTAGTGCAATTTGTCTTTTTGATTTCCTGACTGCTGGTACCAAGAGTGTTGACTATAGACAAAAGTGTTGACTACAAGACAAAATTGTTAACAACCTCAATATTTTCTCCATCTATCATGATAATGCCTATTGGCCTGGTGGTGAGTATCTTTGTTTTTTTGATGTTGTAGACTGCAGTCCTTGAACTTCAGCAGCAAATGTTTCAAGTTCTCATTAGTTTCGGTGAGCAAGGTTGTGTCAACTGTGTAATTCAGGTTGTTGATAAATCTTCCTTCAATCCTGTTATCACTTTTTCTTCATAAAATCTAACCTTCTGAATGTTTTGTTCAGCATATACATTGAAAAGATAAGGAGAAAGTATCTATCTTGTAAATATAGAGTTCAACTACAACAACTCTCTTGTCTAATCATTTTACCTAACATACTTTTCTTTTTATTGCTTTTTTCTTTCATTCTGATTCTCTCATTTAATACTTAGTTCTCATTAAGCATAAAGTTCAGTTCTTCAGTAATTTAGTTTGAGAAATACTATCACTTTTGAGAATACCAAATAAGAATTTTAAATTCAGGTATTCTTTGGTTATATTATACATTGTCTTGATTTGATTAATTATATGCTATAGGTTCTAAAACTTTAATTTTGTTTTATCCTTTATAAATGAACATATACAGAAGGAACTTATTACACAGCAAGGAATTCATTTTACCTACAAACATAATGCAACGTTCAATCTTAAATTATAATGTCTACCATCTTTTTGTTTTATGTGCTCATTTATCTTCTGCACAATATATGCACAATTCACCTGTCAGTATAACCTACACAGATCTCAGTGATAGGCGTAATATCACAAAGGTACAATAGCTCAGTCTTACCTCATTATATGATCTTTCCAAAGTCAAAAGCACGCAGCACTCTATTTTGGGTACTTACCTCTCAGGGAAGCTTCTCTGTCTAATTCTCTGAAAAAAAGATAAAAAGTAATTTTACCAGGAGATAATGCTAGCTGAAGAGCTGAAGTCTATTTTAATACCCTTTCCCCTTCAACTTCATTTTAACCTGCCGATAGCGATATTATTCGCAAGAATAAAAATTCCTTGTCAGATACATTTGCAACATTTTTTCAACTAACACTTAGGCTGGGGAAGCCAGCTCAAAAGAGACAGGGTGGGAGTGTGGGGAGCTATTTGTTCAATGTTCTAAACAAGTTTGCATTGTCTAAACTCACCTGCCGAAGAAGTTCCAGGTGCTCTGGGAAGTTGCTGAAGTGTTTCCCAATGTCAAAGAGGCTAAACGTCTCCTGCTGGCAGATACTGACCCAGTCCTGGTATTCTCCTGTGTCAGGGATGCGATCCAGAAAGATGCGATATGCCTCCCACACTGCCTCCTGACATACTGCAATACAAAGGCATTAGGACGGGGAAATAACTATCTGGCCACCTCCCAAGTTGAGGACAGTTTTGTAACATGAAAATTTCTTTTGTGGCTTATGTTGATGCAGTAGTTTCCAGCTCATAGAAATGAATTCTTTTCTAAATTATGAAGCATTATATGGTACACACCCTAGTAGCACAGTGGTTAAGTACTGGTCTGTTAACTGAGAAGGCATTTGGTTCCAATGCAAACCATCAACCATTTCAAAGGAGATAGATGAGATAGTCTCCATCCTTTAAGATTTATGGTCTTGGAAGCCAGATTGCGAGTTGCATGCAGCTAGACAGAGTCAACTAAACGGCAGCAGAGTTTGAAGACTCAGGTGCACTTGATTCAGAACATGGTCTTTTCAGTCACTTGCTGTGCTGCTGAGAGCTCAACAATGAAGACAGATGACCCAAGAAAAAATTTGCATCTGGGTCTGGTGGAATGGCTGGTTTTGAAGAAGAGTACTAAATATGGACAAACAGAACATAGCCCAAAGAACAAACAGATAGGTCGTGGTGGTGGTGAAGCCAGAGTGCTCCTTGGAGGTAAAGATGTTGTTGTTAAGTGCTGTTAAGTTGTTGACAACTCTTAGCGACCCTATGAATGAAAGAACTGAACACTTGTATAACTTCCATTTTCACCAAGTTCATAGAGTTTCTGGAGGCAAGCTATTTTGGAGGCAAGCTATTTTGGAAGTGGATGCCATTCCGGCTTCCAAGCTTGTTTTAAATGAGGAGCTCCACCAAACACTGTCCATCATGGGTAACAATTATCACATTTGACACATCAGTGTCACAGTGTTTATCATCACAGCAAATTGGATGCATTCTTTAATAACCATTGGCTGTGAGTTGATTGTATTTGGCCTCCTATTTAGAAATGCATTTGGCCCTTGGGCCTGTAGCCCTCCGGCCTGATTTTAATTGTGTGTTTGGTTTTTTTCCAAACACTCTTCTAAGTGGTACAACAGTGGTCTGTCTATTTGCTGTACAGAGATAAATCATGGTTTCTGTGATGCTAAACACTGTAACACTGATGTCTCAAATGCAATAATGGTTACCCATGGAAGCAAGGATAGTGAAGCTTTTTCTCCCGTATTATGGGCATGTTGCTGGGAGATGGATATTCCTTGGAGGTTGGCACAGGATAGGACAGGGTTCAGATGTGTTTTTAGTAGGGTCAGTGTTAGTTGTACTTGATTTGACAGCACCTAACACACTAACTATAGTTGAGCTGCTGATCCAAATGTTGTTGCTTCCTTGTGGTTCAAATTCACCAGCAACTTGGTGGGATAAAGATGGGCAATCTCCTAATGTACAGGTTATAGGCTATTATAACGTGCTGGAGGGTCAGCTATGAGTTGGTTCTCACTCAAGGGCAATGGCACAGAGACATAGAGATAGAAAATGCAACCAAAACAAAGAAATAAAAACAATTCCCAAACCAGATAGGAAATCAGCGTGTCTGTGCGCATTTCCCTTTGTAAACTAGGAGAGCTAATGAGGTCAATAGTTGATAGACTGTTAAAGATGATAATGATAAATCATGATGTGATGTTGGCAAATAAAGCAAAAGGAATGTAAAGAATGAAGAATACTGCTATGACAAAACTCTGTCTATGCAGTCTCTACTGTAAACTTTGCTATAAAATTTCACACATTCTGGGAAATTGCAAGAGCTGGCACACCTGAAAAGGAATGGCATAGTCATGCCCTGAAGACCCACTTTTATTGAACGTCAACTCTTCCAACACACAAAGATTCACTCAAAGTCATTGCTACAAAGTCAGTACCAGCTCATAGCTGACCTCCATTGGGTCTTGGAGACTGAAAATTGTACAAGAGGAAATTGTCAATCTTTGTTCCATGGAACTTCCACGGAGGCCTGGATTTTTTGGGTTAGCAGAGCAACTGTTGACCTAAGATACTTGAGTTCCAGGCTAAGATTAGAGAATTTGATGCTTTCATTGACTTACATGAACATACCGTCTGTGAACCTCTAGTTCTAGTCAAGAGTGTACACATCATCAAGCAAGGAATAACACATAAATATGTGCAGATTTTCACAAATCCCAAGTATCGAGTTTAAGCAAAACAACTTCCCTGCTCTTTCCACTAAGAGATACTGCATGCCATTTTGATATGCTGTTTTGCACTGGTATCAAGCTGAATCTGACTCATAGTGACCCCTTGGATTTTCAAGGCTGTCTATCATTATGAGAGGAGTCTTTGCATCTTTCTTCCCAAAGAAGATTCTAACTGCTGACCTTTTGACTAATAGCCCCCACACTAAACAATTTGAAACCAGTTTCTTTTCCTAAGCTTTGGCAATTCCATAAACTAACGATAGCAACAATATGAGTTGATTCCATCTCAGTACCCAACCATTGGGTTTAAGAGGCTGTCATTTTTTTCTTTAAAAATATTTTATACTGGTTTGCATACAAAGTTTGTGCACATTTTGTTTCACACTATCCTTCTCTCACATTGTTCATACAATATTTTCAATTCATTGTGTTTTGTATGATTAATCACCATTGAACTATTCCCATCATTACTCCGTCTTTCCATATCCTCATTGGACCTTTCCCATTTCCTTTACCCCCTCCATCCACCCACCAAATTATGTAACCCTGTGATTTCCACTCCCTGCTCATCGTCATCTCTGCTCTCACTCTCTTCCCTCTCAGGTCCCCATACCCTTTCATTAGTTTTCCTTGTATTTTCACAATATTACCTTATGTACTCTTTGTCCTTTTAAGACTGAGTTAGCTCACTCAGAATAACGCTCTCCAGTTATGTAGAATTTTTCAAACTCATTGCTCTGTGTGTTATGTAGTATTCCATCATGTGAATATATATAATAATTTTTCAATCCGTTTGATTGTGGTTGCACATCTGGGCTGCTTCCACGTTCTTGTGATTGAGAATAATGCAGTGATGAACATTGATGTACAAGTCTCCGTTTATGTCTCAGTTCTAATTTCCTTGGTATATATTCCCAGCAGTTGAAAAAAAAGCAAGGTTGTATGGAATTTTTGTGTTGGAGGCTCTAAATTTTAACCAGAAGAAATGGCCCTCTTTCTCCTGCCAGATATATGCTACGTTTTGGTTAGCAGTGTACCATGTCAAAGACTTTGCTCCCAGAGCTCCTGACAACTCAATATGTAGCAGAAAGTAGTATTGTCTCTGACAGTTTGGTGTTATTAGCTCTCACCTGCAATAATCAACTGTGAAACATCTAAACATCCTTCTGTTTACCACCAGCTAGTCACATACTTGGGTGTGCTAGTCTTTGGTCTCAGATTTAGTCTCCCTTTTATTTTCATAGGAAGCTCTGGTGGCTTAGTGGATAAAGAACTCTCTTTGAGCTCTCAACGACAGGCAGTTTGAATCCACAAACTGCTGCTGCTCGGCAAAAAGATGGACAGTCTCCTCACATGCAATTTATAGCCTCTGGAAAGCCAATAGAGGGTCAGGTGTGAATGAGTTATTACTTGACAGCAATGATTTATTTCAGTACAGTTAAATCTTGAGCTTATTTTGTTCCCAAGTCAAACTCAAACTTAAAGGTATCATGTTGTTTGTTGTTGTTGTTAAGTGCTGTCGAGTCGCAGGCGACTCATAGCGACCCTATGAAGGAGAGTCCTCAATGCTTGGGTGCCTTTCCTCCCCTCTCCAGGTTCATAGGATTTCCAGAGGAAAGCTACTATGCAAGTGGATACCACTCCTCCTTCCAAAAAGGCATCATACTATATATATTATTTTGATAGCCATATATAGAGTACACCTCAAAAGCATATATATGCCCTTGAGTCAACTACAACTCATAGCAACCATATGAACAATAGCTCTGAACCCTGCCCTATCCTGAGCCACTCTGACACACCTACTCCCACTGCCCCAGTTACTGTGTCAATCCATCTCCTCCAGGGTCTTCCTCTCCTGTGATGTCCTTCCACTCTTCCAAGCCTGATGTCTTTTTCCAAGGACTGGTTCCTCCTGACAACATGCCCAAAGTATGTGAGACAGAGCCCCAAAATCCTTGCATCCAAGGAGTGGCCTGGCTTCACCCTCTCCAGAAAGGACAGACCTGTTTGTTCTCTTGGTAATCCTTGGTATGTTGAATACTTTTCTCCAGCATCACAACTCAAACTCATTGATTCCTTTTCTTTTTGTAGCCCAGGACACACTGGTAGTCACCCAGAAATGCTCTGGTAGGTGGTTGGAGACACAGAAGCATCCAGTGGGAGGTGCTTGCAGTTTGGGGGTTCTCATGTCCCTGCTGTTCTTCCCCCCACCCTGGGGAACCAGAATACCTCTGCTCTCATAAAAATCTGCTTTTCACAAAGACCCTGAGAGAATTTTCTTCTGGAAGCACCAATATCTGAAACAACTTGAAGAGTGATTTCCCTGAAGGCATTGTGATTGATAAGGATGAAAGCGTTAAGGATGAAACAAGGACAGTAGATTTTCTTGCATGCTCTTTGAGGCCAGGTTTTTCCTGTGGCCTCTGAAAGAGGTTTTTTTGGCCTCATCTAAACTTAACCACAAACCAAGAGACACAGAATCCTTATGTGATTGTGAGTACAGAAGCACCAGCACTGGAGAGACCCCTCCCTTCCAAAGGGAGTATCAAAAGAACCCTTGAAAATGGAGCCATCAAAGGACCTCAGAACTGGGGATATCTGAAAATGTCTCAAAGTTAGAGTTTTCTAGCCCTTGATTTACTTGCTCTGTGTCATCCTTCTCTGAAACTCCTGGGATTGAGTCTCATAAGGATTCTACAGCCACCAGGGCCTTGATTCTCTTTCTTCTCACACTTGTAGGCTGACACCTAAAGTTCCACCATAGTCTCAACTTTTCTATGAATGTCAGATGCTAGGCTGTCTGATGAGGGAGGAAGAATCAGATAAGGGATTCATAACTAAATTTTATGGAATACTCCAGCATTTCAACAAGAAAAATGTAAGC